CAGTAAATTATCGCTTATTTGCTAAGGGATGTCATTTGTAAATTCAAAGCATTTGTTTGCAGGTATTTACAAGATTTTTATATTGTGGTTGTGGAATTTAAATACTGGCATCATCAGGGCCATAAATTTTTAAAAAGCAGTGTTAAAATAATTTAACAAACTGTTTTTCTTTAGGAAAATTGAAAATAAAACACGTATAACTGCTGTGAATAATATTTTCCTCTTTAAAAGAGACGACTCTGTCTCTTTTAAAAACTATGAACTTTCTGCTCTAAAAGCAGGGTCTCAAGAGGCATTTGTGAAGGAACACAAGAATCCCCGGAACTTGGAGATAAACACGGACTGGTGTTTATTTGTGTTAGTTTAAAAGTAGTAGCCCTATGTGTCAGAAAACTGGATCTGTAACGCTTTAGTTAGTCTAAGCAAGCAAATAATATCAGCTAACATGGCTTTAATCTACTAAGTAACTTTAAATCCAAAAGATCAAAGGAAGTTATAACTAAAAACAGTCCTTCGTGCAATTTCACTGTAGAAGCAGGAAAAGACTAGAAATTACATGTCACCTTCATATCCTGGCTTGCTGACCTTGTGCTCAGATCAAGCCCCTCTGTATGCCAGCTGTTACCATTATTAAGACCTTGCCCCTAGGGGTTAAGTAGGAGAAAAACTCTCCTGTCCTATAGGAGAGCAAACACTGAAGTTCCAGCCCCTAACATGCCTAATTCAAAGCAATCTGCATGTGCTTGTCATTCAGCCTGGCCCGCTGCTCTGTGGAGCTGCTCCTGCCAACTTGTTGCTTTCTGTTGTGCTGTGTTACAGCTTACGGGGCTTGCTACTGCAATCATTTGCAGATCTAGCTGAGCCAGGGAAGTTTCTTCTTCCAGAAGAAAGGTAATGCGTTCACTCTCACTTTTGTATGTGCGAACCGATTGTTTTGGTAGAATTATTTAGAAATTGTGCTTCTAGGATTGTGTTTAAAATTCCAGCTTATAATTTTTTCAGTACAAACTTTGAATGACATTTTAATGCATTAAAATCTCAAGAAGTTTATTTGAATTGCAGTCTAGCATAGTAAAAGTAAGGTAAGCTAATTCTTAGGTTTATTCAATGGTGCTTTATTTAGAAGGAAACAAGATTTAAAGTACTCTAGTTTGTTGTACTTTAAACCTGATAGTTTGTTGTTTCATACTTTGAGATTGTTGTCTGACCACTATCTAAATCAGAGAATTTTAAAAATATGTGGTTCTGTCATTACCAGTTGGTAGAGAAATAGATGTGGCGTCATAGGAGTCACTTTAATCACTTTTGTAAACTAAATATTGTAAGAAAAGTAGTAGATTATAAGCATATCCCCACCTATAAAGACAGAAGTTTGGTGAAGTTACCCACTTGAAAAATAAGTTTCAACAGCAAGTTTAATTCATACCAGAGTTCTTTTCAAATACACAGCCTTGTGCATGTCCTCAAGTTGTTGTTGAATTGATACAACGTTTTATGCATTGTAAAACTGATAAAACATTTTATGCATTTTAAGTGTAGCGATAGTACTACATTATGATTAGATTTACAACTTAAAGTAGAAGTCAGAATATATTTGCCCTGTTTACTTTTGTTTAAAATGAGAGTGGATAATCTATACACAGTCGGTAGAAAAATGAAGACTATTTTAATTTGTGGAATATTTTTATGTCTGGTAGTAAAATGTGAATTTTTTTAAAAAATGAAACATCAAAATTTAGTAAAAACTGAAATATTTCATAAAAATCATTGACGGACCATAAATGTAAGAAATATAGATCACATTTTACAATTCACTGAAAATTTAACAAGCAGGTATACCTATTGAAATAAAAAGAATAAAGTATGCCCTTTTTACCACAAGAGGGTTATTTTAGATCATAGTATTTATAATTGAGAAAACTCTGGTGCGCTTTGATGGGGGGGAAGTCACTAAACTATGTAAATAAGTGCTAAGCTAATGAGTGTCTCACTTTTAGGCAGTAGGTTTACTGCTTCCCATGGTTTTAATATCTGCTGAGGCATTTCTGCTTTTTAAAATGTTAAAATAGCCTTTTTGCGTCATGTAATTTATTTTTTAGCCTTGCAGTGGACTATCTTAGGATGCTTTCATTGCCCAAATCTTGCCTATTAGGATATTGTATTGGATTATACTCTTTGATATGTAACTGTTTTAGGACAGAAAAATAAGGCAGAGTCTTTTTTATGTATGTTCTGTGCTTGATATAGCTTACATTTTAGACCTGGATTTTAGAATTGTGAGCATGAGCTATTTACATTGATTATGGGGGAAAAAAAGAGTAATATATAAGTGTCTGAAATGATTGACCTACAAATCATTTAGAAAATGCATGCTAACCTTGCCTCACAGTGGGGAATGATATGTAGTATAAAATTGATTCATCCAGTTCTGTAATCTAATCCCAGTTGCCTTCGTAGTTTGTATGGAACCAGTTAACCTTTTTTGGCAGCTGTTGGGAAATTTGTTTTTCAGTGTTTGCTCTTCACCAATTCTTTACCTTCCTTCTGACTGCCGAGTCCTGGGATTGCACTGGGTCCCACTCAGAGCCCTTTCACTGCGTGGTTCTCATAACTCAGTGTGGATGACAGACAGCTTAACATACAGATAGTGCTGACATTTCTTATTTTGAAAAATTGCTGGTCTATTCCTGATCACATTCTAACGCAGGAAGCAGAACCGAAGTGTTCAGGATCAAGGCAAATCCACTGGTTAGCCTGTCAGTATTTTGGGAAAATATAAAACAAAACAACTCAAGTAAATTAGAGAGGGCAGCTTGGGAAGAGAGTGCTCCTTGGTTCTGCCCATCTTAGTTTCTATTCCTTTATTATTTTAATTACTGTTAAACCAGCCCACATATTTATATTCCCAGAAAACTGTTCACAGGGAACACCAAACCAAGCCCATTGCCGTGGAGTCGATTCCGACTCCTATTGACCCTATAGGACAGAGTAGAACTGCCCATAGTGTTCCAAGGCTATGATTTTTACAGAAGCAGACTACCACACCTTTCTCCTGTGGAGCAGCTGGTGGGTTCCAACTGCCAGACTTCGAGCGCTCTAACCACTGTGCCATCAGGGCTCCTTCCACAGAGAACACAGTAGGGGCTTATTATATGCTTGCTGAATGAGGGCATTCACCCATTTAACTGAAAAACATGATTTAATTACCTTTGTGAGCGAACAACAATTCCACATCAACAGTTAAAGTTCAGTTCATCTAATGCCTATAAGAAAACAAATAGCACAATTCACAAGCATTTATAGTGATAATATGAGTAAGACAAAGACAGATTTATGACATTTGTAACCAGGCTCTATTAACAGTTAATGTACAATTCAAGTAAGAAAAAAGTCTTTATAAATTTGATGTTTTTCTAAGCTTAAAGTAAACCTCAGAGTCCTTTCAATAAAAGGATGTCTTTTGTTATATTTCATACAAATACCTTGAGAGGTATTTCCCAGGTTCCTCAATAGACTGAAGGAAAGGATACCCTTGAGACATTATTTGCTGAGCTCTGCAGGGAAGAACCCATTTGAGGAGCTGCTCGAGGAAGCTTGATTTGCTACTTCTCAAAGTTCACAGAGCAGCAGGGAGTGGGGCCTGGTATCAGATGCTTAGCATTTGTGGGAAAAGCTTAGATAATTCTAAGTGTGGTATTAAAAAACAACACACTACCATTTAAATCAAGCAACTTTTAAGTACTTTACAGTGATTGATCTCAGTTTTGGGCCTTATGGAAGACATTGAAAAAATTTTCTCACATTCTTTTTATTGCCTCACAAATGTGGGAGTAGAATTTTCTTAGTTTGATTTATCCTCGGTGAGTTTTTTTTCCCCTTTGAGCTGCTAATTGTTGAGCTTTTGAAATGTGTGAAGTATTAAACATCCATGGTGTCTTTGGTCATGCTTGTGATCTGTTCAGCAATAATATTAGTTAAGCTCAGTAATATGATACTGTTTCTCCTGGGGAATAGCTGTAAATGATACAGATAGATTGCTCAATTGCAGAGTTGCCCATTTTGCAATTTTAGTTGAGGCAAAATAGTTTCAGATGAACTCTTATGGCCTAAAGATAAAGCTGTCACTTCTCTAGAGTCTTGTTTATTCCCAGAGCGTCTAGTAATTTGTCTTTGGCGGGGATGTGAGGAGATGTGAGCATGGGCATATGCGCAAGTCTGGTGTCTGGAGGCTGTCTGACCCTACAGTTACCAAGTGTAAGATGCTTAACATGCAATCCGAAATCTTTCCCCTCCTCCCCGGCATGAAATTTTAGGGAACACGCTCTTTTATTAAAGGGGCTTGGGACTTCCTTTTGAAGGCTGACCAAAGGTTGGGAATATACTTTTTCATGTGGATTAAGTAAACTTAATCCTCAAATCAGCTATTTCCTGAACTTTCTTCAAAAGATCTGTAAATAATTGAGGAGGCTCTGTGACAGCTTCCTTCTCATTTCCACAGCATTGGTCCCAGGAAGTCTGCACTGTTGTCTCTCTTGAGCTAATGTCTTGTTAAGGCTTTCTCCTCACTGCACCCTTTCCCCCACCCTTCCAACTTGAATGTGATCGGGGGGAGAAGTTGTGAATATTGTGTGGAGAGATAATTTTTGTGAATGAATTTGGAAAAGAAATCTCTGAAAACTGCCTTAATGATTGCCATACAATGATTAAAAAAAAAAAACAAACCCACTGCTGTCGAGTCGATTCTGACTCATAGCGACCCTGTAGGACAGACAGAGTAGAGCTGCCCCATAGGGTTTCCAAGGCTGTAATCTCTACAGAAGCAGACTGCCACATCTTTCTCCTGCTGAGCGACTGGTAGGTTCAAACCGCCAACCTTTTGGTTAGCAGCTGAGTGCTTAACGACTGTGCCACCAGGGCTCCCCTTTACGATGATACCCATTACCCATTGCCATCAAGTCAATTTCTGACTCATAGTGCTCTTGAAATATATATATAGGAAGATAGTGTTTATGCTAATAAGAGTATGTTGTTGACTGTCATTTATCCCAGATTGTAAAAGGGAAACCTCATTTTACACCCATGTTTCCCTTTCCACTCAGACCTGCTACCAAAGGGCATTGGACACAAAATAAAATGAAGAAAATGAGATTGGTATTTCTGCAGCTCTGAAATTCCTGCCACTCACCCGTCCATGTATAAATCTCTGCACTGACCACCTATTTCATCTCCAAGGGTAAGACTGCTTTCCAGACTCAGGGCTTTCAGATATGCTATGGTGCATGCACTGTAACATCCTTCAAGATTGTTTCACTTAATTTTTTTTCTTGTAACTATGCGGAAAAAACTTTTATCTGGCAAATTTTATTTTTCTTCTGTATCATTAAGCTATTTGTAAACCATGAAAAATTTTTAAGTGAAGTACACAGTTTATCCTTGCTTATCGGTGCCTGTGTATATAATCATATTAAAAGAGGCGATATAAAAATTTTAGGTATATTTCATTTTCAGATATGGTATTTATTATCGTAAGTTGAAACTACCTACTTAGTAATGTAAATGTAATAGGAAAACAATAAGCTTTATTGTAAAAGAATACTAATACTTCACTTTCAGATTTCCTAAAACCCAGTTTGCATTTTCATGGTGTGGTGGCCAGTATCCTAATACCTCGTGGGCTCTTATGAAATGTACGTTCAGTTGAATAGACTTTCAGATTTATAACATTGTTTCTTTGGGAGAATGGCTTCCATCTTATTGTAGGTTATGCTTAAGGAGAATAGTATCTATGAGTTCTAACTCATAGCGACCCTATAGGACAGAGTAGAACTGCCCCATTAGGTTTCCAAGACTGTAATCTTTAGGGAAGCCGACTGCCTCATCTTTCTCCCATGGAGCAGCTGGTGAGTTCAAACCACCGATCTTTCTGTTAGCAGCCGAGCGCTTAACCACTGCATCACCAGGGGTACTTTATAGGTGACTAGGTGAAGATAATTTATAAGTGTTCTTATCGAAGGAGAGTTTATTGTTAGAAAGTTCATGAACTCAAAGAAAAATAAGAAAGTTTAATTTGTCTCAGAGGGGGAGGAGATTATATTTCTTTATTTAAGACTATCTTTTTCATTTCCTTAAAGGTGCCGGGTTCTTTGATGTAAGATACATATTTTGCTTTCAGGTCACAATTATATTATTTTGAAATAGTCCAAATAATACATGACACCAGAGGTAAATCTACTGCCTTGCTTCTTCAAGTTTGCATAATATGATACATGGATGGATAACACCTCTCTTTAATTCAGTGAAATATTGACTTCCTTGAATGCTGAGCTGTACTTTTTAAAACTTTCTTGGGAAATACTGAATTCAGAAGCTATTTTTTATGTGGGCCTTCAGACAGAATTTTATATCAGCAGCCCCTCATGATGCTATAAAAGCTAGTTGAACTTGGCATTGCCCTAGAGGAATCTTGAGTCATACAGGTATGGAATTAAATCCCAATCATGTGATCTGGATTTTTGACCCTCAGTTTTCTCTATAATAGGTTTAATAATGTCTTCGTGGGGTATTGTGAGGAAAGTGCTTGACACAGTGATATTGCTGAATGCATTTTTAATCAGCCTTCGAGGGGAAAAATATTCCTAGAGACAAACCTGGCGGATCTCCTTCCACCTCTAACTTCAGTAGCCCTGCTACAGAAGATGCCTACAGAGCAATTCTTCATCAGTTACTCCTCTGCATTTTGTTGTTGTTGTTGTTCTGTGCCGTCGAGTCAATTCCGACTCAGAGCGAGCCTACAGGACAGGGTAGAACTGGGTTCCAGGGAGTGGCTGGGGGATTCAAACTGCCAACCTTTTAGTTAGTAGCCTGAGCTTTTAACCTCTGTGTCAGCAAGGCTCCACTTGTGCATTCAGAGAAGCTGTTTCTGTGACCTTAGCACTGAATATTAATAAGCCGGCTGGTATCGGTGATCAGAAATGAACCATCATTTTAGGATAAGCATTACAAAATTTTAGGGGAACCATTTCATATTAAAACAGGTTTTGTAAATAACGGATACAAGTGCTCCCGAGACTGACTACCTTTACACTTGGTGTGGGGGGAAAAGAAACCCTTCAGGTATCTTTACGCACCCATTTCTTAATATCTAATATCCAAAAAACCTACTACCATCGTGTCAATTCTGACTCATATCGGCCCTGTACAGAGAGTAGAACCACCCCCATAGAGTTTCCAAGGCTCAAGATCTTTACAGAAGCAGACTGCCAAATCTTTCTTCAACAGAGCGGCTGGTGGGTTCGAACCGTCGACCTTTTGGTTAGTAGCCAAGCGCTTAACCACTGTGCCACCAGGGCTCCTCTATCTAATACCACTTGGGAGAAACAAAGTGCCTCACCAGTTAACTGGGCAGGGTGCTTCATTCTGTATTTGTGACTTTGCTGGAAAAGATTAAAACCCAATCAGCTGTTACTTCCATGCATAAAAAGATTTGGGAGTCATGAGATAAGCAATAATTAAGCTTGGTTTTCAGTGAGAAGAACCTCTGTTGTTAAAATATGTTACTTTTCTCTGCCCAAATCAGAAAAAAGACTTCTTGCCTTTGTCAACTCTTATATCATTTCTCTACTGTTTTACCTATTTCTGCTTCAGTCGTGTATCATTTTGCCATTACTTCAGCCTAATTCTTTTGTAGCCTGTCCACCTCGATTTGTGATTTTGCCTTGCTAAGCAAAATGCGTTCCAGGCTCCAGCAGCATAGACGTGTTGTTGGGAGCTTGTGCCCTAACCAGACTGACTGTATCAGAATCCGCATCTTAACAAGAATCCTACATGGTCTTTATGTTTGATCAGCACTGGTTTAAAGTGGTTTGTATTTTATTTGGTAAACTCTGCTACAGGGAGCATCATCACTCCTCCTAAAAAGATGATTGGCTGCAACATTGCATTTTTTTAGTGATCCAGTCTTGTCATTTATTGTTTATTGTTAAGTTTGGTGTTAAGAGTCTGGTAAAGCAAAGGGTTGTTCTAGCATACAACATCTGGATTTAGAAAATACAATTGAGCAGAAAGCCCCCCAAACCTTGGGATCAGACTTCCTAGCCTCACCGTTTGTCACCAGTATGTGACTTTGGGTAAGTTACTTACCCTGGGTCTCAAGTTTTCTTTTGCCAGATGGGGCGGTAATACTTGCCACATCTTTTTTTCTGAGAGCTATTAGGAGGATCCGTTCAGCTGAGATCATGTGTTTGGAAATGGTTTGGAAATACCAAGGAGGTGTACTATTGCAGCTGTTTGTGGGGATGATGATGATGTTCCCTCAGGCTATACAGGCCCCTGTGTTTGTTAAGGATAGTGATGGCTTTGCTAAGTGGTTACTGTGGTAATTGGAACAAGTCTGTGTATCCTTTTCAACATTTACATTCAGATTTTTACTTGACAATTTTCTGGCTAGCTCTAGCAGTCTAGGTTCCAGTTCCAAGATTAAAAAAAACAAAAACCCATTGCCATCAAGTTGATTCCAACTCATGGCGACGCTATAGGACAGAGTAGAACTGCCCCATAGGGTTTCTAAGGCTGTAATCGTTATGGAAACAGACTGCCACATCTTCCTTCCTTGGAGCTGCTGGTGCCTTTGAACGGCTGACCTTTTGGTTAGCAGCTGAGCACCCAACCACTGTGCCACCATGGCTCCTAATTCCGAGATAGCTGCCATGAAGTTTTCCTAATGCTCCATGCGTATATTTGTACCCTGGGAGCCACCTAAATAGTTTGGTTGAGTCCTTTGGAAAATTGTGTGCCATTAAATTTTTGTGTATAATATGTTGATGAATAAAGTTTCCATAATTCAGATAGTCCCTGTTATGATTGTATGATAGCATTTTTAGTGAGATACTATTTTTTGGTCTTTGAAGCATGGATATTTTCCTTATATTTTATAGATTTAAGTTCTTGAGTCCCAAACCAGAGTAGTGTGTAATTGTTTTTGCGCCTTCTAATCACATGAATGCTGATTACTTCTTTCACTCTGCATTTCAACATGATTGAAATATCTGTGCATTTCTTCCCTGTAGCATCTGTCTTACTGATTATGGAACTAGTCATGGCGCTTTTGGTTCAGTTAGCTGTGGTAACAAATAAATCATTTATGTTTCTAAAAATTTTGAAAGCTCTGAGATAAGCCACAAGGAAACACTTTGTCTGAATAGAGTGTATTCATCCATTCTTTTTGCTTAGCTCTGTTTTCATTTCCTGCTTCATCCAATATTTAATATGATTATGTAGGGTGCCATTTTAAGAGACTAGTTATATATTAAAAGATTAACAATTTGAAATGTATCCAGTGAAAGCCTAGTTACCCTTTAAGGTAGAATAATTTTGTTTCTGTTTTTGCATTTTAATAACCATTCCATTGTTCATTGTTAGTCACTGTGCCAGGGACTTTGTTATTTTATTAATATTTTTATTACTATAAAAAGACACATTTATAGTAAAAGTTACAAGCAGTAACAGAAAATAAAATATGAAAGTATTCTTCTCCACCCTCCCAGATGGCCCAACTCTCCAGCAGGAAGCAATGTTAGCATTTTCTTATATCCTTCTAGAAGTTATCTGGATATCTACCTAACCATGTGTGGATACCTGCCCCCCGCCCCCCTTTTAAATCAAATATTCATTTCATATAAGCTGTTGTGCAGCTAGGTTTTGTTTGCACGTATCGAGGTACTAGCTCTTTCCATAGCAGTACATCCAGATCTAACTCAGCCTTTTTTATTGAGCAGAATACCCAATGTATCGATAAGACAGAATTTAAGTCTCTTATTGATAATAATTGAGATTGGTTCTTCTTGGCACTGTTACAACCAGTGCTGCGGTCAACATTCTTATGCATACGCGTATATCTTCACATATTTTTCAAGGATATCTAAAGGGTGAATTTCTAGAAGTAGAATTGTGGGTCGAAGGATAAAGGCTTCTTAAATTCTGTTAAGTAATGCCGTGTTCCTGTCTTGGAAGCTTGCTCCAATTTGCATTTAAACAAAATTAACTCTAAGAGGAAACCAAGGCTTAGAGGAAGAGTATAAGTGACTTGGTAGAGTCAGCTCCCAAACTCACCCACTGCCATTTTGTCTAACCTACAGATGTCTCAGCTGCCATTTTAAAGCATAATTTTAGCTTTAAAACAAAGAAATATCATTCCATATCTTGTCTATATGCTTATCATTCAACCAAGCACTAATGGTAATTCTTCGCATTACAGATATATAGCCCTTTCTGGCTTTCAGAACATGCTTACGTTCTCATGGTAATCATGAGATGCGAAGTAGTTATTATCCTGATTCATACATGGGTTGATATGGGCATAGTATATTGATGAACAGCACGAAATACACTAAAATAGTTGGAATGGGGCCCTGTCACCTCAAGCCAGCACCTCAAGAATAGTTTTCTTTTGTCAGCCCCTGTGTGTTATGGCCCCGGAGAAATCAGGTGAGTTCAACATCACTGTCTTTTAAAGCTACTCATTTTATTTGACCCAAAACTTATTTTAAACTTCTACCATAAATACTGTCATCATTGTATTTCTAATTGCACAGCATTCTATTTATCACAACAGCTTGGCACTACTGAATGCTATTAATATTTTCTTTCAGAAGCTCCTTATTCCGCTTGAGTGTGTCAGTTCTTCCTCTGTCGCTTCCCTTTTTCCTGTTAGTTCTCCTCAACCTAGGCTCAGACTGAGTTTTTTTCTCTTTTACCTCAGTTCTGAAGAAATAAGATCTTTCTCTGTATGGGTGCTAGGATCAGCTCTTTACTTCGGATCAGAATTTTGCTATTCTCCTAATCACCTGAACCCCTACAGAAATACATCCACTGAACAATATCTGTAAACATTTCTTAAAACAAGTTTTCCGTATTTGCTTTTTGTAAATTTTACTTGCTTATCAAGTCCATTTGATTGTTCCCATTTTATGATAAAAGAAACCAAATTATAGAAATCTCATGTGAAAGTCAGAGTTCAGATTATTCTTTACTGTCCTCTAGTTTCTACTTCATTACAAGAAGTCCCTAAGTTACAAACAGATGTGTTCCAAAAATTCATTTGTAAGTCAGTTATTTGGCACTTGAACTGCATTTTACCACAGTGGAAATAATTTAAAAAAAAAATGTTATAAAGGGTGATTAGGCCCCTCCTATTTAACTCTTATGTAACTAAGAAATGCACTTGCATCAAAAATAAAATGCAATGATAGTTGTTATTCTGGTTACAAAGAAGAAAAAAGAAAAATTATTTCTCCTGAGGAAAAGCAGATTTAATCAGAAGACAGGGAAAGTGAAAATTGTGGCGAGTCTAAGGGGGGATTTCAGGGCATTTTCAAGGATGTTAGAGACTGAAAGCTGTTTGAAGTTCGCTTTCACTTTAAAACTTGGAGGATTTTGTTGTTGTTGTCAGGTACTTCTCACTAGCATAACTCCCTCTACAGCTGTGATTAGAGCCGGTAGGATTGATTGGATTAAATAGTTACAGAAAATAAATTATTTTAGATGATGTTAACCAGCCTGGAATGGTAAAAACAAGCCAACAAAACAGAAGAAGTATTCCTTACTTCCATCCTCCTGATGGAAAGGGAGGAGGGGGTCAGGGGCAGATGTTGATTTTCCCATTCAGCCCAACAGATCCCATCAGCTGGGATTGCCTAGCTGGGGTCTGGAGAGAAGGGGTGGGAGCATGGGTTGCAGACAGAGGCTGGAGAAAGCGTGAGCACCCAGTGACTTGTGTGTATGGAGTATTTGTACAAGGAGAGTTTCTAATTCTGGAAAATGACTGCCTTTATCTCATCTGGTGATTTCTTCCTACATTATCTAGACTGTCTTGCCCTTAAGCCTACAAATAAGCATCTCAAATTTCAGTTAACTTTAAAAAAGTTTAGGGTTTCTTTAAGTGTCCTTTAATAAATAAACACACATATCTATAATACACACAAATACATAATATACACACATATATGTATATGTGTATACATAAAGCATTTGCATACAAATTTCTCTTTTGATTACAACAAAAGGGAGAATATATTCTTCAGTAAACAGAGGCTTAAGTGAGATCTTGTTGACATGGTACAGTAAGAAAGCGGTGGAAGAAGGATTAGAGTTTGTGCCTTCTGGGTCAGATTAGGGCTCTTTCCATCATACCTGCCCTGCCTTCCCTCTAGTTAGATAATACACGTAACTACTATTGCTTTGTGTTGGGTATATTATCTGAATGCTTTGTACTGGGTGTTTATATCCAGGAGTGATTTAATGAAGGAGAGAACAACTGTATTTATTACAACGATTCAAAAGCCTTCTCCACGGTCATTATAAAAAGAAGATTGGGATTGGTGGGCCACTTTCAAAAGCCGTGCTAAGATTGATGAAAAAAGCAACATGTGTACTTGATTTTATTTATGTTTTATGCTTTTGAATGCTTTGTCTTTCCTCTTAAATCATTTGTAAAGAAATTTTAATGTCCACATTAATTCCTCCATTTTTTATAGTGTTGATGTCTGTATAACTGAATTTGTGTATGTGTGTGAGGAATTTTATCTGTAAGGTAAATAAATTAATAATGCTAAATTTTACACCTAATACAGTGAGTATCTTCTGGGTGCGAGTATTTAGATTGAAACTTTATGCACTGTACTGGCGTGTTGTGCTCAGAAGTGCCCCTGTTGAGTAATTCATATATAGGGTGAAAATGTGCACAGGTCTCTTCCTCATGGGCGATCCAGATTTATCACGTTGGATTACCGTGTACCCAGATTGAAAGGAGATGACTTCTTCTGGCTCCTTGCGCCTCTCCCAGAGGTGGGCAGAGACTAGCGAGAGATTCTCCAGAAGCTATCTCCAGAATGCCGTGCTAGAAGGGTTAGTGAGCCAAATTATGGTTTTATTTTTTCTTGTTGGAATTCATGTATAGGTTAAATAGACCGGTGGCATTTGATGGGCTGTTTTTCTTATTGTAAATTACTGGATTTTGTGTGTAGGTTCCCCAGAGGGTGGTGGGTGAGGGAAGAAGAAGGAGATGGCCTGTTTTTGCTTTTGTCTGGCTGGACAGAACATGCCACTGGTCATTTGAGCATGTAAGGGTTTTCCTTTACATTGAAGGCTTGGACTCTTGGGTGAAAGGAAAAAAAAACTTAAGAAAAAAATTCTCATTTGAAGCAAATCCCACCCTTAGTATTTTTTTCTTCATGTACAAGAAATGCTACCTGTGGTACATAACATGGAAAACACTAAGTTCGTGGTCAACATAGGTGGTGTGTTTATTCATCATTTTCCTTAGCATCATAGTCATTGGTTTACATCTGATATTTTAGTCGCCAGGATTCTTAGCTTAACTGATTAGTTTTTATTTTCTTTTGGTTATTCTTATTCTAGGACTTGAGTGACTTAGAGGAGAATCATATTTTCTTGAGATAGTGCTCACCCACCTTCCCTTGTGGTGTTGCCACCTGAGAGTAGGAGCTGAGGCTCCAACAGAACATGGCTTTTCTAAGACACAAGACATTATTAAGATTATTCAAATTATTTTAATTCATACGCCTGATTGCCCTCAGAGTGAGTCTTCATTTTGCCCTTTACTCCTAAATCGCGACAACCCAAGCCTGATGATTTTGAAAAGTCGAACAATAGTATTAGTATCCTCTCTCTTCCTCTATCCCCCCATTCCAAAATGTTCTAATTTGTAACTGATACTTGCACATCTAAGGAGCCCTGGTGGCGTGCATCAGTTAAGTGCTCAACTGCTAACCAAAAGGTTGGCGGTTTGAACCCACCCAGTGGCTTCACAGGAGAAAGACCTGGTGAGCTGCTTTCATAAAGATTACGACCAAGAAAATCCTAGGGGGCAGTTTGACTCTGTGATGTGGAGTCGCTATGAGTCAGCTCAGCTCAGTGGCACCCAACCACAACACGTGCGCATCTAGGATAGGGAGAGAAGAGAGGCCCTGAAGGCAGAGGTGGAGGAGGGAGAAGTGATCAATGGGGACAAGAGAGGGCCCTCAGGGGGCCTGAGAGTAAACAGCAGGAGAGTTTGTGTGTTGGCTGCTTGTTGCAGATACTGCTGGGTTTCCACCACTCTCTCACAGCCCCTCCAAGAACCCTCCAAGAGTTGTTTTAAAATATCTTACCTGTGTTTTCTACATATTTGCCTGCCTGACCATAACCAGATGATTTTGCATCATTTCCTTTCTTAGGGCCAAACCACTGGAGCATGGCTGTGAGCAGTGGAAACAAGGATTTTGTGGTTCTGAGCAATGGCAACATTGCAACCAGTGCTACCAACCCTAGTCCCCTCACCTCCTGTGATGGAGACCTTGCAGCCCAGCAGCTCACACCCAAAGAAGCACCGAGAACAAAAGTGAGTCCAAATGGATGCCTGCAAATTAATGGCACAGTTAAATCATCCTTTCTGCCTCTAGACAACCAAAGAACAGCTCAGATGTTACCCCAGTGCTGCCATCCTTGCCCATACCATCACCCTCTGACCAGCCATAACAGTCACCAAGAGTGCCATCCCGAGGCTGGCCCCACAGCACCCTCTGCTTTGGCCTCGTGTTGCATGCAGCCACACTCAGAGTACTCTGCATCTCTTTGTCCACACCATTCCCCCGTTTATCAGACTGCGTGCTGTCTTCAGCCCTCTCCATCCTTCTGCCTGCATCATCCGTGGCCTGACCATTTTCAGCATCAGCCTGTGCAACAGCACATAGGCAACAGAAGGTGAGTGGTCTGCAGGTTTCTCTGGCCTTTGGGATTCAGCTCATGCCACATGAACGTGACTGTGTTCATTTCCCCAAGAGGAGGAGAGAACAGTGTGCCAGGGAAAGAAAACTAATGCAGATGCATAACTTGAGCAATTGTGAGAAGCCAGTTAAAATGCACATGAAATAATATTTTATCTGTTTTATCCACTGACTTCTTAGTCAGTTATGTCCGTAATTTTCCTTTCCCTGTCTACAAGCTGGTTAGGGGTCCCTCCTAGAACTTGAGTTGTAAAATTCATTAAAAGGTTTTGTTGTTAGCAATTTATGTTATCTTTCATGGGAGATATATTTGTGATGAGGCTGCTAAACAGGAGTCCTTTATTTGCTATTCCTGGGGATCAGCCTTTAGGACAAAGAAATAGAAAATCAGTCGCTTCTTTATGCTTCCTTATGCTTTTCTCACAATTTCTATTCACGTGGTTTGGCTGACTGTGTCATATGTTGAGATCAAACATAAGCAACTATTCCTTTCATAACTGATGAAACCTGTAAATCGGTAGCAAAGGACTTAAAATTTTTTTTTTGTAAAACATTTTCAGATGTGGTAGATGGAAAACTACTAGAAAGAAATCCACATCATTGTCAATCCTCACTCCTACTTGAGCCCCTAGTGCCTCTATGTGATATTCAGGTATTTTTCCCCTGGGTAAGTTAAGTGGCACGCACCACAGATAAGCAGTGATAATATATTTTACAAAATACTAAGTAATTTGTAGAGACCAAGTATTATTTCACTTTTTTAGGTAATAAAATTTTTTAAATGAGCTGGAAGAACACGTTCTCTTTTTTAAATTGGGTATGATTTACATACAGGGAAATGCACAGATCTTAAGTGTACAGTTTGATCAGTTTTGACAAATGCATATACTGGTGTAATCCATACCCCTGTCTTCACCCCAGGAAGTTCTTTCATGCCCCTTCTCAGTTATTCCCTCGCTCCTCCAGAAGCAGTCGTGTTCTGAGTGCCGTCATCATAGATTTGTTTCGTCTGCTCTGGAACGTCATATACATGAGACAGTATGTACTCTGCATCTGACAGTTCTTACCCAGTGTAACGTTTCTGAGATTCATCTAATTGTTGTATTTTCCTTTTTGTTGCTGAGTAGTATTCCATTGTATGCATGTAGTAGATTAACTTTTTTAAAAATTGTATTATTGTGGTAAAAGTATCTGTAACAAAACATTTCACAATTCAGCATTGTTTACATTGACAATTCACTGACCTGGGTTATGTCCATCATGTGCAACTCTCACCATTATCTGTTTCCAAATTAGTCCACTACCCTTAACAGAAACCCAGTACACCCTAAGCAATGGCTCCTCCTTTCCCCCTCCCATCCACCTTTGGTAACCATTAATAAATTTTGGTCTCTAGTGGTCATTTGGAGCCCTGGTGGCTCAGTGGTGCTAACCAAAAGGTCGGCAGTTCAAATCCACCAGCCGCTCCTTGGAAACCCTACGGGGCAGTTCAACTCTGTCCTTTAGGGTCGCTATGAGTCAGAATTGACTTGACAGCAGTGAGTTTGGGGTTTTTTTTTTTTTTGGTATACTTATTTTGTGTGAGTGGGATTATACAATATTTGTCCTTTTGTGACCAACTTATTTCACTCAGCATAATGTTTTCAAGATTCATCCATGTTGTAGTGGGTATCAGGACTACATTTCTCTTTATGGCTGAGTAATATTTCATTGTATGGATATACCACATTTTGTTTATCCATTTTTCTGTTGGTGGACATTTTGGTTGTTCCCATCTTTTGGCTATTGTGAAAAATGCTACAGTGTACATTGGTGTACAAGTTAGCAAATTCACTTTTAATCAAAGAGTCAGATCCAGAAAGTAATTGATAAATAGTTTTCACCTTTATCAGGTTTTAGATGTTGTTGAGATTGAGATGATCTGGTTTATTCTTTCAGAGAGAGAGAGAGAATATGAACTGCTCTGCAGCATATTTCTACAGTGTTTGAATGCATTTTCCACGTAGGATTTGAGAGGCTTTTAGTTACAGAATTACGATAAGAACCTTCACCAAAACCATTTCTTAGCAGTTTGGTCAGCTTTAGACTCTTTCCATTTTGAATTAGAAGGTTGATTTTAAGATTAAATGATCATAAAGATAGATATTTTCGAATCATAAATTATGTGATTGCAGAGTGGAGACAAATGGTTAGTTTTCACGTTTTGAAACTAGTATCTCCTTTAAAAAAACTTCACAAAATATTAAAACTGTGGACGTGGAACCAGTTCTGTCAACATGGCAGGTTGTGTAAAATTTCTCAGGGCTTTGACTTGGCATTTCTCAATGACTTCCGTTTAAAGGAATGAGCCCTATGTATGACTTTAAATAGAATGGCAGTAAAAGACAAACTAATACAAATGCTGTATTTGTCCATAAAGAAAAATTGTAGAAAAAAGTGAAACACTGTTAAGAGAAATTTTTCATATTGTGGAATCTTATCTCAAGAATAATATCTTTCAGAAATGCCTCCTAAGGAATGGAATGTGGTCAGTTGTGTATACTACATACTTTATTATGAAATGTGCATCTCAAGAATTACTTTCCAATTTTCTACATTTATTTATTTAATCAACAGTATCTACTGAATACCTGTACGTGCCAGGCACTGAAGATTTAATTCTAAGCAAGATAAGCGCCTTTCCGTGTCTTCATGTAAGCTAACAGGAAGGGAGCTCTGAAAGCCAGCGGGCAGCTATGATGTCGTGGTAGTGGTACCAGGAAGGAACAGGCAGGGCTGATGATGAATCGAAGGTACAAATGGAGAGAGACTGGAGGAGGGGCTATCTTGCAGATAATGGGAACAATTTGTGCAAGGGCTTAGAAGGTAGTGTGAGCCCAGTCCCAGCATAGTTTAGATGACTAGACCCAGGAGGAGAGAATAGTAGCAGAGGAGAGGTACCAGATCCTGAGGGGCATTATAAACCAGAGATCTCTAGGGCAGTGGGGAGCCATGGTAGATTTTTAAGCAGAGAAGAAACACAATCAGACTTGTATCTTAGAAAGATCTGTCATCTGCATTGTGGAGAATAGATTGAACTGGTCAGGACTGTTGCAGATAGGAAGACCGTTAGAAGGCTTAGTGCTCAACTCAGATGAGAGATGATGGTGACTTGAGCCAGGATTTAGAAATAATTTCATTCTAGAGAGATTTAGGAGGTAGAATCTTTTGGATTTGGCTAATAATTGGATGTGGGGGAAAGGGAGGAAAAATCATGACTGATTTTCAGTTTCCTGGCTTGAGCTTCTGGGTGGGTAGAGGGTGGTGCCATTCACTAAGACAGGGAAGACAGGAAGGGGCACTAAGTAGACAGAGGTGAGCCCACTGAGCTTCCCGGGAGCAGCAGTGAAGTCCCTTGAGCTTTCTTGAAAGAATGAGGATGCTGAGTAATACGTGACAATTGCTTTGAGAACAGTAATACCGGCAGGTGTTATCATAGAATGAATACTGAACCATTTATATTCAGCCCAGCCTGTATTTATATGCAGAATTACGCAATGGGCAAGGTACACAACCAGGTACTGTACCTCTCCCCACCAATAAGATGTCCACAGAAGCAACTGTGGACTTAGCCATAGCTACAGTGTAAGGAAAAATAGGGCAGTGTGGGATAGGCTAGGCAGCATGTCCTCATTAAGAAACTGAAAATGAGGATGTTATATGTGCTTTACTGCCAAAAGGCAGTAGTTAACTCTACCCAACTCTTTGAAGAAACTTATTGTAACAAAGGTTCTAGAGGCTGATCTCTACCAGGAAGGTTAACTCTCTAAACCTTTTAGTTTCCTTTTGTGATTTATGGAGCCCTGGTGGAACAGTGGTTAAGAGCTACAGCTGCTAACCAAAAGGTCGGCAATTTGAATCCACCAGCCACTGGTTGGAAACCCTATGGGGCAGTTCTACTCTGTCCTGTAGGGTCGCTATGAGTCGGAATTGACTCGATGGCAATGGGTTTTTTGTGATTTATAATATGCTGCTTTTTTTTTTTTTTGGAGTTTTTTTACTGATAACCTCAAGTACTTAATTATTATTCAGTTAATGTTTAAGATGTGTTCATAATTTGGCACAGGTGTGTGATGTTCACATTGCTTTAAAGGATATTTTAAAGGTTGACGACCTTACAGTAAAATTGTGTACAGATGGAAGACCCTAAGTGTTTCCAGTTGTTATTGCTGTTTGCACCTCTACCACAGACGGTTGGTATTTTGTTATATTTTTAAAGCTTTCATTTTAATCTCCTGATTGATAAAATTAAGATCATTGCAAGGATCACATTTAATACACCCTGTTTTAATTCCACTTATCACCAAATATTAAGTAGCTTAAGTAGATTTTATTTTAAAGCCTCAGGCTTTTTCATTTGTAGATTCCTATCCTCATACCCAGTGTTGAGCCATAAATTAACATGATTAATTAAGAACATGAAGGAATTCAAAAAAAGCAGGAAGTAGTCTCTCCCTACTATGAGACAAGGCCTATACAGGTGAGTTCTAAACCTAGCTGACCATCAGAATCACCTGGGGAGTTAAAAAAAAATGCGATGTACGTGTGTGTGTGTGTGTTTATAAATCTTTATAATGTATTTAAAATTTTTATTTTTTGACTAGATTCCATACTGGAAGTTCAGAAACAGTTGAGAACTCCAGGAGTTCAGAGGCAGAAAGAATCCCTCTAGGTTTACACGGTTAGGAATAGTCTGACTGAGAAAATATAGAGCTTGAGAGGCCCTTGAAGGATGTCTAGGAATTAATAAAGGAGCTGGAGGAGGCAGAACATGGAAGGTGATGAGAGCGGGGAGGGTCATAAGGGGAAGGTATGCAAAAATAAAAGCATGTTTAAGGAAAGGTTAAAGAGAACAGGATTGCAGGGGTGGAGGGGTTCCTTTAGGGTGGTCATAACAGATAGCTTTTCCTAATTCTCCATCCTAAACCCAGTCCAGTT